TGTGTGTGTGTGTGTGTGTGTGTGTGTGTGTGTGTGTGTGTGTGTGTGTGTGTGTGTGTGTGTGTGTGTGTGCAGTGACATCATCAGGTGTGTTCCAGGTCTTTGTATGCTTGGCAGGTAAACAGGTTGAAGGAAGAGGCTTCTGAAAGCACACATCAAAGGAGTAGGTGTGTTAAAAGTTCAAAGAGTTACAGTGTGGGGAAGAGATAACCAGTGTGACAACTCAACCCTGCCAAAAATCTTTCCTGTAAACTTCTTCAAAGCTGGAAGGGAGCTTGACGTAACATCTAAATACGTCTCACTGTGTGTTTATATAAGCAGCTCTCTTCTAACCTTGTAAGTCCAGCTTTAGTCAAAGTGGAGGATTGAGCTCCTCTTTAGATTCAGAGCAGTTTTTTTAGATGAATCTGTCGGAGCTCGTCGTGTAATTTTGAAAAATGCACGGTCAGTGAGATGCTGGTGGAACTTTTCTGACCCTCCAGACGGATTCTTTAAACAACCTCTGCAGAAAGTTCCTTTTTTTGTCCCTTTTGGAATGTGAATATTTCAGTCAAGAGGCAAACGCCTGCGGTTGTGTGGCTGAAATTCGGATAGCATCCAGTGTTCAAAGCCTTGAAATACACAAGCCACACAATGTCGAGGCATTTTTTTTTTCACAATTTACAATGCATAAACATGACGGTTTAGGGAGGCCTGAGGAGATTATTTGCACAGAGGTCTAGTTTCAGCTATTTCAGGTTTACTTGAGGCTGCCCTGTGATGTCGCCCCTCTAAGTGATTCTTGAAAGTGTTAAACCACAGCAGCCCCCCAGCACCCCCCCAGCCCCAGTGCACAGAAAACATTGACTGTTTAGACTTCAAATATCCAGCTCCGATTGACCAGAAAGCACATGCTGCAGAGAGCYACTCATGCCTCTCTGAAAGGAAAATAAACCTTCTGGTATTTATGTTTTCACTACAATCCTTTCTTCTGCCCAACACTTGTGCTTTGTGTGAATGAGACACGTCTGCTTCAGGTGGAAATGTAGGCAACATGTAAATCACATTCAGAGGGAGAGAAATTATTGCGCCTGCAGCGATAAAACGCTAAACTCTGCTCCGATCACGTATTCATGGCTGCTCCTGTCTGCACACACAGAACATGAACTTACTGTCAGCAGCTCACATAACAGGGAAGAGAATGCACCAATTTCTCAGTTTTTCAAAAGTTGTGAAAACCTAAGCAGAGCAGCTTCTCCACAAGGGCCCCACTGATGTTTCTTAAAAGACCGACTTCTTAGTTTGCATTTGATTCGGAGGCTTTTCAGCAGCCGGTAACGGGAGAAACTGCAAAAAGGAGCGAGACATGACGTGCTCCTGGGCCTTCAGAAGTCTTGTCAAAAGCTTTTTTCCTTTCTGTGCTTTGTCCTGACCATATTCATCTCGCCAGTTTAAAAGTGAAGACGGCAAAAACTTTGGGCTTGAAAAGAACTTTTCAACTTCTGAGGAACCTCACAACAGGACTGAGCGTTTGTAAAAAAAGACAAAACAAAAAAACACACAAAAAAAGACCTGAAACAGTAGGAAAGGAAAAGGACTTTCAATCTGAGAGGCAAGCTGAAGAATCAGATAGCATGTTTTGAAAACGGGGAGAGGATGAATACGCCATTGTCTGAAAGAAAAAAGAACCAGCGTCATGTGGAGTGTGCTGATTGAGGCGTGCTTTGTGCTCTCGTGACCCTAAAATCAGCTTGACYCATCCCAATAAGCACGTAGTTAATCTTTGTATATTCTCTTGTTTCTGAGTGTAAAYCTGTAGAGAAACAGAAAACACACACATTATTCTTTGTAYTCTTTAGTTAAAACACAAGAACTCTACAAAAATAACTTGAAATTACTAAAAAATAATAATAACAGAAAAAAACGTGAAACTCAATTAATGAAAATTAGTCGTTACTTTAGAACTTATCTTAAAATTTATTAAAATAAAACTGATGAAGCTGGTCGAGACAAAAAAGCACATCCCAAAACCAAACATTGTTCCACAACATGTTAAACCCTCTGAGTCATCTGCACCTGTCCGCAGGTGTTCTGACACACCTGTCCTCAGGTGTCCTGACACACCTGTCCACAGGTGTTCTGACACACCTGTCCACAGGTGTCCTGACACACCTGTCCACAGGTGTTCTGACACACCTGTCCACAGGTGTTCTGATACACCTGTCCACAGGTGTTCTGACACACCTGTCCTCAGGTGTCCTCATCCACCTGTCCACAGGTGTTCTGATACACCTGTCCACAGGTGTTCTGACACACCTGTCCTCAGGTGTCCTCATCCACCTGTCCACAGGTGTTCTGACACACCTGTCCTCAGGTGTCCTCAT